TTAAATTTTTATTGCAGTTCAATATTGACGCCTACTTTTTAATGACTTGAGTAGTTAGTTGTGTTTATATTAAGACTGGCAAGCACCTTCCTTTTGAGAGAAAGCGGATGTGTTAAACAAACACGGGTGTTGATAGGTGATACATGTATACCGTGTTGTTAAGGGTGACAACTGAGAGTATATCAGCTGTTGAACAATATCATGAGAGTTAATTTTCTTGTACTCATAATATTTGAGAGAATTCCACCGTGTTCACTATTTAATAAAAGATTTACAAATTATAAGACATAGCGCAATAACGTATAAGAATGTCTAACATGATAATCGACAAGCATCCGAATTAAGTTTCTGTGGCCAGAAAGAATCCACCCTTTAAAATTTCCTATTCCCTTGTATTTAAACAATTCCTTTTGTTCTGTTTTTAAATATCAATTTCATTATCTTTCTGATGAAATATACGAGAACGCCAATCAAATAAGTTTTAGAGTTACCTCCCGTTTTTATGAAACGTCGCATGGCGTTATTTTTAGCAATAGAGCACGTGGCGAAGTAAACAATAGAGTACAATCAGCGAAAAATGCATAGAAACAGAGGCATTGTTTTATTTTCATTGTGGTATATCTCTAGTAGGAAATAAAGACGATTAGAAAGAACAGAATAGATAAAGTTTTGGTATATAAAATGTATCTTTGATAACTTACTGATGGTATACATGGTATATTATTTAGTTGTTTTTTAAATAAAACTTTGTACATTTGCAAAGTAAATTTGCATAATCCTTTTTTATTGATGTTGTTGTTTTTTTCCTTTTATTTTTTTTTTTATTTATCTATTATTATTATCATTTTTTTTTTTTGCAATGGTCAAGTTATGTGAAAAGCATCATTGATTAATGAAGTTTAAAATGAGCAACAAACGGAAAGAAATTAACTGTGTTTTAATCCTGAGTAGTAGCAATTTGTCTGCAAAAAGACACTAGATCTGATATTTGTGAATCCTTACTTGGACTTCTCCCGATTTCATCTGAAATTGAGAAATTAAAAGAAAACTTCAATTTTCGGCCGCTTATGAGAACTGGACACCTAAACTCTCACCAAACAGATATTTTTCCACCGACTTTTTTCTTACATACAGTCTCCCGAACTTAAACAGTATGGTTTTATCAACGATGGCATGATCTCTTGTTCAAGTATAACCTTCATTAACACACACCTCTTAATATACTTACAAGATGGTTACTTTCCTCCAAAGTACCTGAGGAAAAGGTGTGTCAACGCAGCTATCACGAATTTACACCTAGAAGCAAGATGCCAACGGATGTTTTCAGACCCATCCTTTTTTCTTTTCAATACAATAAATGCAGGGAGTCCGCCGCAAACTATCTGGAAAATTCCAAGCAACATCCATGAAATAGAAATCTGTAAATTTATTGCCAAACTATGGACTCTTCCAGAGCCTTGTCTTCTTTGCAAAGAAAACTTCAGAAACATTTTTGAGCATATCTCTACAACCTCTTTTGGCAAAACCGCCTTCTGCGAGGCATGGTGGGAAACAATAATTGAGGACTTTGCAATAATACTTAGTGCTGAACTCTCAGGTCTCTGTCCACATGACTTACAATCATGTGCCAAATTAAAAGTCACAACATGGCTGACTCACGTGTCAAGTATCACAGTCATACATTTTCATTTCCATGTTTTACTAATGGCAAGATGCTTTACCCAGAACTTTTTTACCCAAGCATAAATTCAGTTGTCACCTACTGCCTGATCAAAGGGAGGTAAGTCTTTGTTTACAAATAAAGTTGTCGTCTGCAGAATACAAGCAATGGGTGCCAGGGGAAAGGATTTGACAGATGAGCAAAAAAATGAGCCTAAAACTCAAAAGTGAAGATAACAGTGGTGGAAAAATTGGGGAAATATTGTGAATTAATAGATTTACAGTGTGTCATTTTATGAAAAGGAATGAAAACCAGGAAAATATCAGTTTATCAAAAGAAAGTGCAAGAAAGACAAAATGTGGCAGAAAAAGGCAGAGTAGTGAAAGATCAGACAGAAACCTTTAAATATTGTGAAAGTTAACCGGAGAAGGACTTTAACAGATATTTCTAATCTGTATAATGAAAATACACCACAGAAGCTATCCAAACACACAGTTCAAAGGAGATTACATGAAAATGGGTATCACAGGAGAGTAGTGAAGAAGACCACCACCATTTCCAAACAGAATAGACTAAAGCGTAGAATCTCTTGCAGATCTCATTTACACTGGACTGTAAATCGTGATTGGGTCCGAGTTATATTCTCTGATGAAACTCAAATTGTTTGGGAAAAAACAGAAAAGTTTTTGTATGGAGAAAAAATAAGGAAAAAATAAAAACTAGCTTGTTTGGAATTTACTGTGACCAACAGACTCCACAGCCAAGTGTTATGTTTTGGGGGTGCCTCACCTATGGTGCTGTTGGCACATTAACACCTATAGAGGGGAATATTAATTCCAAGAAGTACACTGAAATTCTTGATGCAAATACTTGGCCAGTTATTGCCAAATATGAACAGAACAGACCATACGTCTTTCAGGAAGATAATGCAGCAGTCCATACATCTAGAGAGACTTGTAGGTGGAAAACTGAAAATGGCATCAACATCATGAAATACCCCCACAATCTCTCCAGAAGTTAACATTATCGAAAATGTTTGAAGAACTGTGAAAATAAAACTTCAAAAACGTATTTCTCAAATAAAAACTAGACAAGACCTAATTGACAATGTTTTAGAAATCTGGACCTCTCTAACTCCAACGTACTTAAAATCTTTGTATCAATCCTTACCAAAGCGAGTCCGAGCTGTTTTGGCAGTCAATGGATGCATCACTTAGTACTGAAATTTTGGGATAATTACCTTTATTAGATTTAGAGATATATGGCAATGAACAAAGCCCATTATTTCAGCTCTACATATCACTTCAGCCATTTTGTGACTTTTAATTTGGCACGTGACTGTATATCTTTTCCTGCTAGGCGCTAGATCTTTCTCAAGCACTATATCTCATTTTGATGGGTCCAGTTTACATATTTTTAATTTTCGATTCCTCAGGGATACAGCAGCATGGTTTAATAGACAAGTACGTTGTATACGTTTATAGTCAGTCATATTTATTTCTGATGTTTAAAAGATCTATTTTGTACATACAAGTTTTGCGTCATTTGTACATCGCTCCAGTCAACAACCTTGTTTTTACCTTTGTACATCGCTCCTGTCAGCAACCTTGTTCTTACCTTTGTACATCGCTCCTATCAGCAACCTTGTTCATACCTTTGTGCATCGCTCATGTCAGCAACCTTGTTAACCTTGTTCTTACCTTTGTGCATTTCTCCTGTCAGCAACCTTGTTCTTACCTGTTGTAATTTAATACACATATAATTTTCTTCTGTTTATTCCCTTATGACGATATATATATATATATATATATATATATATATATATATATATATATATATATATATATATATATATATATATATATATATATATATATTTGTAATGTTCCTATAATTTGATGTATTCATATTCATGTAATCTCCTATTGGAGGAACTAAAGATAAAGATAGAAGGAATGAATAATATACAAATTTCAAACGATAGTCATAGCATTAATTAGTAATTACTGAATTTGTTGTTTATGGCATAAAAGCAACCTATCTAAAATACAACATTGTTGAACCATTACCAGGCTTCTGTTGAATTTCTCTGTAACAAGCGAATAAAGAGGTCTATTCTCTTCATCAAAATGAATAGACTGAATATCAGTATTTCTCCGAAAACGATTGACTTTGAATTCCTTAATGTTCGCACTACTCATAGTTACCAGAAGATCTCCAGATGAGGTAATGTAGACATTTAGGGATGTCCATTGATTTACCGGTAATCTGATATTTTCCTCTATTTGTGAATTTTTCATCATATACACAGTCTTGCGATTAACATCAGTATAAACAAGTTTCCGCTAGGTAAACTAACCAGAATATAACCTGTAGCCAAAAGTGTATTCTTTTAAAGTAGAAATTGAAAATATTTGTGCTAAAATACGTTTCCATATATTTTATCTGCAAAGTATCGCATCGATATTTATATTTTCGCATAGAAATCATCATCAGCCAAAAACACCTTACTATAATTACTGGCCCTCTCTGAAACAAAACAAAATTTCGGTTTTAAAACCGGTGACATCTATCTACCATAGGCTAACTACATGTGAATTATTGCGCAGTACAGGAAAAAAAGTGCAATTGGGCTTTTGGTGAAGATAATTCATGATGCAACCTTATTGCGGGCACACAATGCATTTCATCCGACCTCTCTTGGCCAGGGAATATTATTTTAATTATTTTTTAAAAGTAACATAGGATGAATTTACAAGTAAAAAAATCACTGTAGTTCTTTTTGATTAATTCTTTCTGACACTATTTCAAACTTGCAGCAATACAAACTTGATATCGATTCTGCAATGATGCAATGGATACAAAATGTGAAGACATTAAAGCCATTCATCTAAATAACATTGAAATAGACATACATGTATATCACTTAAAATTTTCATGCTGATAACCTTTTATATTTTCAAGTACCAAAAAATTAGAAGTAAAGAACACATTCAAACGGTTCAATAAATTCCTTCCAGCGATATAAAAACCTTTTCATTCTTTTTACAACTAAGACCAAGTATCCTAAAGGTAAAAATTCATCAAAAGCTATTAAGGATTTAGAAAGCCATTTCATAGACTTTATATTGTGGTTCAATTAAAATTATGAATAAAACAATAAAATTAAAAGGAAAGAAGTACTTATGATAAACCAAAATATCAAAGAATGAAAAGTTAGTCGAAATATTGAATATCAATTAATGAATTAAATAATCACAAAAAGCAAGAAACATGCAATAAATGCTATATTGCTGAACCATTATCTGGCTTTTTTTTCTTTTTTTTTAATAGTCTTTGAGTTGTTTAATGATACCTCCTTTTATTAAATTTGAAGAAAACGAACAGTAATCAAGTTTAAAGATCCATTGAAACAATACAGACTAGGAGCAAAACAAACAAGGACCTCCAAACATCAGAGGTGGGATCAGGTGCCATGGAGGAGTGAGCATCCCCTGTGACCGGTCAAACCCGCCGTGTGCTCCTTCTCATGATCGGGTAAACAGGAAAAAAAAAATGTTGATAATTAAGTTTGAAAATAATGGCTTAACACTTTCTATGAAAAAATCAGCGAACATTCGACTGAACGATAGATTATGTTTGCTAATAAGGTCATTGTATCGACCATAGAATTTGCAAAATGTTGGCTTTAAACGAGACTTTTGATACCCTTAAGCTTGTATCATCAACTAATTTCAATAGCTTGCCTCGTTTTAGCAATTGTTCGCACATAGAGACTGTTGATATCCTTGTTTCTACTTTCTCTTTCTTTATCTCTTTATTTTCACATTTTCACATAATTTTCAATCTCTTCTGTCTATAGTCTATTTATTTTTAACTGATCGAGGATGGTAATCAATTAGATGCTTAAGTTTTAAAATGTTTAAACTTTCCCCTTTTCAGTTGTCTATGGTTTATATTTTATCTTCTTTAGTACATTAGTTACGTCTCCCGTGTAGTACTCCGTCACAAAGAGATTGTCTTTGGGGTCCACACACAGTTCACGTGGGGTTCGTAGTTCACAGTTATCAATATAACGCAGGAATTGTCCATCCTGGTCCAGAATATGGATGCAGTGGCTGTTACAATCTGCTGTAAGGATATCACCCTGACTATCTGTAGCTATTCCGTAAGGATCAAACGCTCCTTTCGATGCAGCGTTATTCCCAGTGTACCTGAAACGGAGTTTTCCTGCCTCATTGACAACAACTACGGCATGTTCTCTGCAATCGGCCACACATACGTCCTGGTTCTTATTTTCACATATGTATTTTAGGTAACCGGACGAATAAAGAGGTCTATCCTCTTCATCAAACTGAATAGACTGAATATCGGTATTTCCCCGGTATCGGCTGACTTTGAATTCCTTAAAGTTTGCACTACTCATGGTAACCAGAAGATCTCCAGATGAGGTAATGCAGACATTTAATGGTGTCCACTGATTCAATCTTATAATTTCCTCTATTTGTGAATTTTTCATCATATACACAGTTTTGCGATTAACATCAGTATAAACTAGCTCTCCGCTACCTGCTACTGCTATATCATACGGCGAGGTCCCTGTCTCAGTTTGGACTGAACACTGTAGTGAACCCTGTGTATCGTAAAGTTTCATGACATCTACTTCCATATCACAAGTCCAGATGTGTTTCTCGTTAAGACAAGCAAATCTGCGGAGTCCTTTGACATGATCGAGGCTGAAAGTGATGAACTCTGGTTCATACAGCGGAGAGTCTTTGTCACTTTTCTTGCAAATTGCCATTTAAATTGCTTTATTTGGATTAACCTGTTAAAAGACAGTTTATAAGATACGATTTCCATATTTCTTAGCATGAACTGTATGTATGAAATAAGGATAAATGCAAAGGCTCCCGGTGTGCAGATGATGTAACTCCTACATGGATATCCCCTTCCGATTTTTAGACAAAATAGATTATCAAATATGAAAACAAATTCCGAGTACATGATAACAAAATTCTGATATCTTACAACATCTCCTATTTTGCTAAGTTTTAGAGTTTTTCCCTCTACCAGTATATCAAATAAACTATATATACTGAAACGCAAAAGAAACGCAACATCCTATTTTAGGGGGAAATATTATATAAAGGATAAAATTTTGTAGATAAAAAGTAAGGACATCTTAAACTTTGTAATTAAATATCGGTAATTTAACGGTTGAATGATTTTCATACCATTACCGGCAGTTAAGTTTGAGTCCGCTTACCAGAAATCAAAAATTGCATGTTTAACAAAACATTTTGCAATAATATGGGGTTTTAAGGATTTGTGTCTGTTCATCATAAGTAATGCAGCAATGTTCTGAAAAATAAATTTTCATTTCTTTTCCGTAAGCGATGCCAAGGCTTCTTAAAATGACTTAAAAACGCTTTTCCATTGCTCTAGCTGGAAAATCTCAAAATAAAGGTGATGGAGAGTTGCAGATGCAAATTAAATATGCACCACATCACGCCTCAACGTATCATTAGCATGAATGACAGTCCTTGGACCGGAAGTCCAAGGGTTACTACACTGCGCTTGGATAGAGAAAATTCTACCTCATCTTCTGAAAAACAGGCATTTAAAAATGGTAAAGAATACTTCTTCCGCTCGGATCTCGAGATTGATGAACCTATTGCATTGTAGAAATCAAGCTGCAACTGTTGTACATGGTAGTCTTGCACGCTGTAATTGAATGGCCGGGGTGGGGGTTAATTTAACATTCATGTGTTACTTTCTAAAGCTAAAAGATCATCATTTAACATTTTTATCAAATCTCTGATGTTTTTAAATCACGTTTTACCTTACTGTATTCATTTTTGAAAATCATAAGATAACAGAAATCAAATATTTGTAGATTACTGATTGTTGTTTTTCTTTTGCGTTTCAGAATATGTAGAGAGACAATCTTTTAAAACCTAACAGAAAAGGGAAATGAAATCAGATTTCAGGCTTCAAGAACATGAACTGGGAATAGACCAAAATTTTGAAAATAAGTATCTTGAAATTAACATATATTTCGTGTTCAAGAAAAAGTACGTTTGTGCAATATTCAAACACAAACACTAAAAATATGTTTGGTTATCAAAATTATTTAAAGTTATATTGATCCGAAATTTGGACTTAAGTCTGTTCATAGTGACAAAAATATATCGGGAAGATATATGCTGGGGTTACACGATCTAAATACCAGGTGTCTGATTCATAAATGCGCTCGTGAACCTTAATTATGGGTTTAATTTATGCATTTTGATAAACGTACTTATTAAAATTGGTTCTGGTGCACAATAAACACACTAGCCATAATTATATGGTACATGTACATGTAAGTGCATAACATGCTTTTTCATGACGGACAGACAAGATATTCAGAATGGAAAGGAAGCTAACATTTTCATTGGCGGTTTTGATATCTAGTGCACAATACGTCAAACGCATACTTCTTTTTTCTTTTTAATGTATTCAAAATGTGTACCAAGTTTCATTAAAATTCGGCCAATAAATGAAAGGGTATTACATTCTGAAGAAATTATAAATATATATTCTATTTCTAGTGAACCAAAGGATATATTAAATTATGCATTTGTATATATTCTACTTGCTTACATTTATTTATTTATTTATTTATTTATTTTTTTTTTTTAAATCAAGTTTTGAGAATGAAACAGGTTTTTTAAAGAAATGAATACAGTATTCAATGTTAGTAACCACGGAAGCGCTATTTAAAGAAATTAAATCGAAATTGAAAAAGAATAATGAAGTCTGTATATCGATGCCATCTTTTTTTTTTCTTAAGACAGGACTAAAGACAGATACGTGTAGATAGAATTTTGGAGAATTCCACAGATTAATCTTTTCCTAGCTATTATAATAATACCTCTCATGGAAAACGCTTTCTACACAGAGAATCTTTTGTCGTGATATTTTCTACTTTTATACCAAAGTTTGTTAAAATCATGAGACAGTTATTAGAGGAGTAGAAAATTGTGAAAATATTAAAGATTATTTTATTTTTAGTGACCAAAATAATATTGAAAATAAAAACCATTTTAACGGACCTATTTGTGTTGATGAAAACTACATGTACTTTTGCAAGAAGTCGCTTTAGAGTTGCGGAGTAAGATATTGAGGGTTCGACTCCTTTTGCGAGACGTGGAGACCAGTCCTTCGGACTGGACAGTTTAACCGAGGTCCCATATCGCAGTAGGTGCTGTCATGAAAAAAATCCTTCACTGCTTAAAGGTCGTAAGTTTTGGCCTATTGACAGATTGTACTTCCTAACAAGGTCATTGTAACGACCATAGGCTTCGCGAATGTTGACTTCAAACGATATTGTATATACCCTTTTATCATCAACTTGTTTATCAGTAGCCTGTATTTTTTTTAGAAACTTTTCGTCGTAACGTGTATTGTAGAATCAACTTGGAGACATAAAACCACATGAAGGTAATTATGGAATAGTAATATAAAATAAAGATATTCATAGCTGACGATAGAAGAGTTAAAGCCATCACATTTTTAGTTGTTAGTTTGCTATCAATGTCTTTCCATATATGAAGCAATTGAAGCAATTGTGTCAGGCTCCATTCTTGTCTTTTATTTCAAGTTCAGCGGGATATATCGATTCAACATACAGTGCAGGAAACTAATTTTGTTACAGCATTGATGCTGATTTGAATGCTTCCTTTGCTTGCTGATTTGAATGCTTCCTTTGCTTGCTGATTTAATGCTAGTAATCCTTATCCTGATGCTGTTTTATAATTAAGTCAATGCTACCGGAAGTAGCATCATGCTACCGAAAGTAGATAATGAATTTCAGCATTGCCGTTTAAAGCAATAAAAGTGCCTTTTACAATTATTTGATCATAATATCTCACTATGTTTCAATAATGTGAATACTTTAAGCAATATTCTTTCTTTCTTTTTTAATTTTTTACTGAATTAAAACTCATTGATTTTCTGATGCTAGTAGGATAATGCTGATTTTATGTAGGTCAATGCTGGTTATATATATATATATATATATATATATATATATATATATATATATATATATATATATATATATATATATATATATATATATATATATATATATATATATATATATAAAGTAATGAAACGTCATCGATTTATTGAAATGTCATATTGAAGACTAAAGCAAGTTTTTATTTCTGTTCATGTAGAAGTTTTTTGAATAAATAATGCTTCACAAGAATACAAAAATACGAAAAGTTTTAGGGGGGGAAATTAACTTTAAAATCCAAGGGGCTTAGACATTTTAGACGCAGGTAGAAGTAAGATTTAAGAAAGAAACATTCAAAAATCCAGAATATCGTTCTAAATTTGGTAATCCATTTCTAGATGGTGGCATCTCGAGATGACGAATATTCAAAGTGGCAGGTAATTCTTCTTAATAAGTATACTAAGAAACACTTAATAATAAGCTTGATCTTGAACTTAACTGCGCATTTGTACAGGTCCTCCTAATAAATAGAAACGAATTAAACTCTTGTCTGACAAAGAATGCAGTTTTTTTTACTCAAAGTATTAATCTCTATATCAAGAGCATCCTGACACAAATCAAAAAGGGTAGACATTGATTGTACACGACACGAAGATATTTAATTAAATGCTTGAAAGGAAAACGAACTTAAAAAGGAATAGTGGTTTTGGTATTTATTTAGACTGTTTACATGTAGTCCTTTACGCTCCCCAAGTTACAAATAAAATATCAGAATACATAAACCGTTATACTTTATTTTGCCTTTTGCCAATGTGGCTGATATTTGTCTAGAGGTTCTGGGAAAGAAATCGAAATAATTAAAAGTTAACTTAAGATGGGAGACAGATCACAGACATAGACAGAAAGACAGGCGTATACTTTAATAACATCATAAAATATCTCTGTAGTCTTTTGCTGATGTGAGCTAAATGTCTTTTTAAAAAAATCCAGACGTAAATGTCACTTAAGATTTACATATATAAATAAATGACCAGCCACTTTGTCACAGATCTCTCTCTCTCTCTCTCTCTCTCTCTCTCTCTCTCTCTCTCTCTTACCTATATCCCAAACATGGCGCTCTCTTTTGTGACACTGAGTTATCAAGTCCATGGCTATTTATATCTCATACTTTACCGATATTGTTGACATACGTGCTGGTTTTCCTTTCGATGTGTCTATTTACCCAAAAGGAACCAAAGGGAACCTCAAATTTAGCGAGGAAACCAAATTAAATGTAATATAATTTATTTACGTACATATCTAAAGAATATTTAGGCTATAATCAATTTTATTGAGACTGGTACGGTGTGTTTCCTTTTTTGAAATTTCTGATATTCATTTAAAAAAAATTTATTGAGCCTTTTATTTAATCTATTTTTAAAATTGATGGACATGTATTACAGAACTGAACTTTGCACTTCGCACATTTGAATTGCTTGTAAATTAGATATGTTTTTCCTTGCCTAGTTAAACACTAATTAAAAACTCGTGCATGCAAGCTGCCTTAATTCATGAAGTTTCCACATATACCTAATTAAAGTATCCTACATCCTATATCCTACAGTATACTAGAGTATTTAAGCGATAAAGGTCTTTATATGTAAGCATTTTATCGTACATTATCTTAAGAATGTTATTTACCAAAGTGACGTAAATTGACTGTAAGGGGCCTGGGCAGAGTTGCATATAGCCGTTAGGTGTATTCAATTTGTTTACTCTGCACACATCACTGATCAAGGACTGACAATATTAATGAATTAGATTTTTTTAATGCCCCCGTATCGAAGATTCGGGGATATATAGTTTTTGCCCTGTCCGTCCGTCTGTCTGTTTGTATGTTTGTCCGCAAAAACTTTAACCTTGCCCATAACTTTTGATTGGTTGGAGCTATGGCTTTCATATTTCACATGTGTATTTCTTGTAACAAGACCTTTCTTTGGGTACCATCATATTTGACCTTTTGACCTTGGACTTTGACCCAGTTTTGCAAAATTTTACCAAACTTTAACCTTGGCCATAACTTTTGAACAATTGGTGCTAGGGCTTTCATACTTCACATGTGTAATTCTTGTGACAAGACCTTCCTTTGGATACCAACAACTTTGACCTTTTGACCTTGACCTAGGAGTTTGACCTACTTTTGAAAAACTTTAACCTTGGCCATAACTTTTGAACAGTTGGTGCTAGGGCTTTCATACTTCACATATATAATCCTTGTGACAAAACCTTTCTTTGGATACTACATGTAACAACTTTGACCATTTGACCTTGATGTTTAACCTTCTTTTGGAAAACATTAACCTTGGTCATAACTTTTGAACAATTGGTGCTTCGGCTTTTATATTTCATCTGTGTATTTCTTGGGAGAATGCCTTCCCTTGTGCACCATTAATTTTGACCATTTGCGTTGACCTTGATGTTTGACTTACTTTTGAAAAAAAACATTGACCTTTTCCATACCTATTCAATGGTTGTTGCTAGGGCTTTCATATTTCACAGGTATATTCCTCGAGACAAGACCTTACTTTGGGTACCAACATGTTTGATTTGCATTTGAGAAAGTTTAGCCTTTGCTATAAGTTGTCATACGGGGACATCAGTGATTCAAAAACACATCTTGTTCCTCACTTTTCTTCTCTGAACTTTCTGTTATTAGTCCCCTACCGGTGAAACCGGAGGGGACTATAGGTTTTTGTTTTGTTATTTTTCTTTAATGAATAAGTTTATTTTCCACTTATCTTAGATATTAAGAATAAAGTTTACTTTGTGGAAGTGCAAAGATACGTGTCATTCAAACGCATCCCAAATTCGTAGTTATGATAATTTCCAGATCAAAGTAGTTTCTCAACACGATTTTATATTTCGGTTTGAAATGCTCTAGCAACATACAAGTAATGATATCGTGATGAAAATCATTGTATCAACCATAGAACTTGCACAATAAAGACTTTAAACAAGCCTGTTGACATCATAACTCGTAAATTCATCAATCATAAAATCTCAACTTTAAAGATTTTTGTTTTAGAATTAGTGTGCTTATTCAACTCAACCTACATTTGCTGTTGTTCAGACATGTTGGTTATTAAAAAATGGGATCTTTAATATATAGCTATCATATACAAAAAAATAATAATAATTCTGAGTACCTCTTCAAACATCTGAAATTGTTTGATATGCAGATTTTTTACATATTAAAGTCATCAACAATTAAATATTGAACAACCAAGAGTTAACCTAAACCATATAATAAATTATAAATCTTTTTTTTTTTCTTCATTTTTTTCTATTATATTTAATTTTGCTAAATTTCCTTCAAATGTTCAGTTGTTTACTACGTCTTCAATGTTAATATTCAGTTATATATGATGAGTTCAAATCTTTTTCTTGTTTGTTGCTTTTATGTGCTCCATTTCTAAAAAAAAAAAATTAAACCGGCTAAGCTAATTAGAATCAAATATTGTCCTCTCTGCTACTTACTTTAGAAATAAAATAAAATGAAATAATTTTATTGATATGACTTTAATGAAAACGTAAAACAAAGGTATAATGTTTGAAAAGACAATAAAACGCAAAATTTATCATGAAATATGTTGTTTTATTCTAAAATATTCTGTTTTGCATAATTATCTTTACATAATAAGAGGCACTTGTCTGTTCGGTGCACAAAACTCAAGCATGAACATTTACTGAAAAAAATTCATTATACAAAAAAAGACAAATGAAAACAGAATTACGATTTATTTGAAAGCCTGATTTTTTTTTTTACAGAAAATGGTGTATTTTCTTATTATCAAAAAAAAATAAAAAATAAATTATTGTTTTCGAAAAAGGAAACAAAAGATAATGCAACCAGTATATATATATAACAGTATTCAAACTCAAAAGTCCATTAAACAATGCAAATTTGGGAGCAGAGGAAACACAGACCCCTAAAACCTCAGAGGCGGGATCAGGTGCCATGGAGGAGTGAGCATCCCCTGCCGACCGGTCACACCCGCTGTGTGCTCCTTATCATGATCGGGTAATAACCGAAAAATCTGTCGACATTTACAGACTACCATACTAGTCACTATCTAAGTATATACGAGTAAAACTAGGTTATAGCTCCGAATTTAATTTACTATATCCGAAATTCGTTATATCCGCTTAACGGATTCATTAAGTATACATAGCAAATTCACTACCAAATTTATTTAAGGAACCATGAAATACAAAATTTAATTTTTAATTTTGGGACCATGTTAACGCACTTTGAAAAATTTACTTTTTTTTCAAAGTGCGTTAATATCGACCATATTAACGCACTTTGAAAAGAAAATGTGCACGGCTTGGTCAATATTCTTGCAAATTTTAGGTATGATAAATAATTATTTGAACCTGGTTTAATACTTTTTCAGTGATGATGTCACTTCAGGATCTGAGATAAAGACGCTTTAAAGATATTTAGGGGTTGTTTTCTTCCCGACAGTTTCGAAAATGTTATAAAGGGAAATAGGTCTTATAGAAATGATTGCATAATTTCGTTCCTTTTTTATTTAATCCATTCTGTAATAAGTTCAGCGGATGAAGGGGTCGATATGTGACTTAAAGCATGGCATTTTTCTTTGGGAAAAAGGAGCAATTATGATTTTTCTCCACCAGGAAAATTCTCTCTTTCTCTCTCTCTTTCTATCTATCTCTCTCTCTTTCTATCTCTCTCTCTTTCTCTCTCTCTCTCTATATCTGAACATACGCTAGACTGATTAATTTGATAGTAATAAAATAAAACATTAGCCACAATACTCATTCGACTGGAACTCTTAAATTTTTTATATCATAATAAGGCTAGATATATTTCAAATTTAAAAAAAATTCTAAGATTCTGGTATATAATATTTGCCCTGTCCGTCCGTCTGTCTGTCTAGCTGTTCGTCTGTTTGTCCGCAAAAAACTTTAACCTTGTCCATAACTTTTGATTGGGCGGAGCTTTGACTCTCATGTCCCACATGCGTATTTCTTGTGACCTTTCTTTGGGTAACAACATATCTGAACTTTTAACCTTGACCTAGGAGTCTGAGCTAATTTGATTTTCCTGAAAATGAACATAAATAGACTTTCAGTTTTAAAAGAACTAAATTTCGATTAACGAAAGACTTCCTTATACAGTGCTTTTTACTGTATTTAGAATGTTCCATTTTTTTCTTCAAATATGACCTTAAGATGTACGAGATATGTAAATAAATATATCTGGGTAGGAATGATAAAGAGTTGAGCTGAGAGATCTTCAACCTGTCCTTTCTTCGTTGTCGATGAGGGTTGATCAATTCATCAGTTTTTAGAAAGAAATACAACAAAACAAGGGCACCGCAAAGCGGAGCATTCCTTCCCCAAAAGCATATTCTATAAATCAAGGCAGCATTTGACATCGACACTAACACACAATCGCGTTACTATATCCCCTCAAACGTTGCGAGGGGATAATAATGTTGTCTATTACTAAAATTTAAGTCCAAAATTTTTGTTTTATACATATTTTTTTCAAAGTGCGTTAAGTGTGTACATGGTTAAAAATTATGATGTACACTCTTAACGCACTTTGAAAAAATTTTTCAAAGTGCGTTGATTTGGTTCCAAATTCACCGCACTTTGAAAAAAATTTTCAAAGTGCGTTGATTTTGTCCCAAAATTAACGCACTTTGAAAAATTTTTCAAAGTGCGTAATTTTTTCAAAGTGCGTTGCCACAGTGCAAGGATGTTTGACAATTAAACACGCACTTTCATATTTCTAATAATTTTAATAATTTCCACATAAAAAAGTTTCTAAACTCGCTTTTATAATGCAACAATCTTAAAGCTTTCACAACTTGTACATTTTGAGTCATGAAATTCATAAAATTAAACTAAAAATTTTGAAGGATATAAACTTAAGAATTGTTTCTATCCCCCTTTAACACTTTGCATTTTGTTTAAGATGAAATTGAATTCAAAAATCACTTAATTGTATCTATCACTCTTTAGTTCCTTACGTACATATATATTTTCATGATTTCACAGTCAGTAAAGTAAATGAGGTATAGAAGTATTAATACTGTATTGTATTTTTAAAATCAAAGGTAAGTTACTTCTGAATATTTGTTAAAGTATCTTAATCATCTAATTTAAAGATACATGTACATCTTATGTTGACTATCAAAGATTCAAAGTCATGGTTTTCTGATCATCATCCTCACTTCCTTCATTGAATAATAGAATCCTTTCCAGGTGTACCAGTTGATGCCGTCAGAGTTGTCTGTGTTCCCGTACTCACCATTCAGGTTAGACCTATGACAATTATTATACCACCAAGCTCCATGTCTGAGAATGGCACAGTTAAAGGAATACGTCCCATCGTTGTCGTTGTCATGTGTACTAAAGAACATGTTGTTGTGGTAGATGAAACTGTCCCCTGTATATAACATAAAGAACAATCCCGATATTATAAAACAACTCTCCACATCATTCAAAGTTTCTCTAACTGTATATGTGATACTGATGTTGTCTGTATTAACTGATTAAGCTATGCTTGTATTTGTAAACAACTTAGAGGGAAAGCGAACACAAATTGTCTCATTGGATGAGCAGATCATTGGATGAGTAGATTGTCTCATTGGACACACACACAGATATAGAGAGAGAGAGAGAGAGATAGTATGGAAGTATCGGTGCACACCTGCATCTCCGGAATAGCCCGATACGTGTAATCTGTACTCTGAAGTCGCTCCTTCGATGTAGAAGGTACTATACTCTGCATATTTCCAAACGCAGTCATGATCCATCAGCTCAATCCTAAGATGTGTATATCCTTCATTTGTTAGGTGATGTATGTTTTCATTACCTGGGAATGTATTAAATGTATAAGTCGATGAAATAGAAATATTGTTATTTATTGCCCATTATTGGAAAACAGATTCACGACACTACAATGTTCTTGATTTTTTACAGATAATTATTATTCCCTTTATACATGTATCTGCTACAATTTATATTACAAACGGTGATTTAAGCTTACTTTTGCACTGCATGCAAGATGTTCATATTACATTACAATTTTAATTTCTTTTGGAAAATGATTATCATTACAACAAAAGTTTGATAGAAAAGAGGGATGTTGAACTTTAATCAATGATAAAAATGGATAGGTATACATATGCATATTAGTCTTTAGGACGAGACCCTAGATTTAAATGTCTTTCCAAAAAGGCGAAAACTTCACGTTAGGACACATAATTTTAGTTACAATAGGCTAAACACATTAAATCGTGAAGAATTAAAATATATGGAAAATATTAATAGAAAAATCAATCAGAAATATAAGCTAGGTTACATTATACACAAAACATTTTAATGCCCCTTGATCGAAGATTCGGGGGCATATAATTTTTGTCTTGTCCGTCCGTCTTTCTATCTGTCTGTCTGTCTATATATTTATCCGCAAAAATTTTAACCTTGCTGTAATGCTCAGGGACAGCAGTAATTTATCGCTAACCTTATAAGCTCTTGAGTAGCGCAGCAGCATTTTAAATTTGTAAGATATAAAAAATGATGCGCAATATAATCAAAGTCAATTTCATCAGACCTGTGCAGAATCCATTAACTCAATATATAATCAAGATTAATCAAGGTTTCAAATATATAATTCAATTTATTCAATAACATTATAATATATAAAAATCAACAATAGATCAAATACTCTCTCACACAACTCATTCATTCATAATTAGAATCAATTTAAATATAATTAAAATTATGTATCGCCAGAACTACTTTAAAACCTCCCAAAATAAAGGGGCTGAATCAAGGGGAATAACTCTAGTTGAATAATCCCGTAACGAAACATTTTATTTAATGTAAACAGGATTTAATAAATACCATTTGTGAACTGAGTTAAATTACTCAATTGTTCACTATGGTTACCTATCTGTGACTAATGAATACATTTACTGATTCTAATAATTACCAAAGTGAACATACAGTTGATTACTGTTTCATTCACATGGTTATCCCTACTTGAAGTATAAATAAACAACTAAACCACAAGTGTATATCACAGTTTATTTACTGCCTTGATATACGTATGGTTAATAATTACTAAGTTCTTTGTCAAAAATTCTAAAGAGAAAAATATGACTAAAAAATAATCAAAAGTTTACTTAAAATAATTAAATTTACTCTAAATCAATTTTAAAAGATTTCTCAATCAAAAATAAATAAAATTTCAATGAATTTCAATCAAATTAAAAATCGATAAATTTCCGAAAAATATCCTAACTCAATAAATAAACACGGAAATAATAACTTACAGTTAAATCACTGCATCAGTCATTATCCCTGCGATTTAAATAAATAAAACCCTAATCCTAACAAATAAATAAAAGAAAAACAAAAATAAAAAAATAATAAAATAATAAAATAAATTGGAACGTCAAAACGTACCAACTATCCTCCTAAAACCAAAGGAAAAAAGTGACTGCCAGACGTCAAACCTCTGTATTTATACCAAATACCAAACGATAGTCAAATATCGCGGCAACATCGATAATCGATCATGTGATCAAAATTGTGACATGTGATAGGATAACACAAAAAAAATCGCTTTTGGACAAGCGCCACCAAACGTGTGATACAAGAAATCGTTGTAAATAACTGATAAATTTATCAATTCAACGTTTTCCAATTCTCAGTAAATAATGCAACATAAAACAAGATAACAATTAAATTATCGAGTACTATATATATTAAACAACTTTCAATCAATAATTTCAATAATACACAACGTGAACCCAACTATTGATCACATCAAAAAATCAATATTCAAGCGTAGATTTATCGACTACATCAACAGTGAGCTAACCGGAAACGAGGAGACAGAAAAACATGTGGCTGCACATACTCTTTACATTCAGGTCAAATAGCAAAGGTAACATTAATTAACTTAGATTAAACGTAACAACACATTAGGTACAACAAAATAATATCATTGATATCAACAATCAAGATGAAACAAAAGATAAAAACGAATTCATGCACAGTCCGAATTTCCTCGACATTGTTTACGTATACTAATACACTATAACTCGTATTCTAGACTTCTACATCACGGCATTTTTTTTTACGTAAAATATTACTTTTAATTTAGTATAAAAATGTTCATTATAAGGCTTGTTGCACTCCACTCTGTTCTGCCATTTGATTATTTTTATAAGTTTTCTAGAGCTCATTAACATAACATGTAACATACCTATCCAAAATTCAGAGTCACGTGAGCCAAATCCTCTTTGATATTGTGTCCAGTTTTGCTTAAAGTTAACGGATCCATCCAATCTCCTTTGGATAATCTACATAAACGGAACGAGATGAGTGCACTACCGAGTCACAGACATGAAATACATATGGGTAAAAAGAAGTGTTAAAACGAGATCAATTAAAATAAAAAAAATATCCTTGCATCAATACACTGAAATCATCATTGTTTGCGGGGGCCAATGTTTGTGGATTAGCCCCCCCCCCCACCTGAATAAACATTACCACGAATTAACGATAACTTTAACTACGTATCTATTCTTTCATATTTTTAAATATGGGATACCCATGAAAAAAAGAAAGTACGGTTTCAATACAAATCTGGCCTTGCATTTTTCTAATATGAAAGTGATGTAAGAAGAAAAAACTCATGCTTTCTAAATTGTTGAAATTCCATGCAGTAAGAACATGCAAATCATTTTTCTCATATGACCTCCTAAATGCTAATTGTGACGTCATGAACTTGTGCATTTTCCCGTATTTTCGTAAAAAAATCATTTCTCGGTAGAACTTTCTTTCCGGTTATATAGAGCATATGCATTGCCCACAAAGATTTTGGGAAATATGATTTTTCAAAGGATTTTACACAACATACCCAAAAATTGAAGTAGGCGACGGCTGTTGACATTATTTTCAATAGGAAAATAACTTCAGAAATGAGTCATTTTGAGGCTTTTTTCAGCTTGTTCCAAATTAGTAAAGTCACATTACCAGAATGGCACTCCTTTGTGCCATATTCTTTCATAATTTATCACATATTCATACTCAACTCATATTTAAGCCAGATTCATAACTTTTTGAAAACATTACATTTTAATTGCCAGTATGAACCCAAACCATACCTACTTCTTAGATACCCATAGACATGCAAATTTGCCGTCCTCAAACATGACCCCCATCAATTAAAATGATTTCACATAATTTCTTTTTACATAAAATCCTTTTGAAAAATTCTTTACAAATTAAGCCGTAAACAATGTAATGACCCTCATTTTATTGCTCTTTTCTGGGAAATTTTTTCCTGAAAATTCACGTGAGCCACATTTGCTTCATTTCAATTCAAAAATATTTTTATTACTGCTCTGTATTTTATTATATATATGTTTTAATGTGAAATACCATCCATAAATGACTATCTTGGTGGCAGATAGTTGAAACAGTAGCACCGATCATCAGTGTAATACTGCAGTAGAAGTCCCGTCCTTAAAAATAAGATATTTTTCAATATTTGAGAATTACTCTTTAATATGATATACATTAGAAAAAATCCTGCTAATGACATTTTCTGTCCTCCGCTAAGTTTATTTTCCAAAACAATTTTTTATTCAATCTTTTTATCGTTAGATATAATGTCTTCAAGTATGCAAGCCCAAATTTGGAGGAAATCTTTGATTATACGTGCAACAAGTTAAATAAAAGTGAAAATCGTTACAAAGAATGGCTCTTGAAAATAGTAACCTCTAGCGAAAATACTGCTTTATTGTTGTTTTTTTCTCGTTATTCTTATTTTTGACTGAAATAAATGTATCATGCCAAATAAACTGTTCAATTAAAATACTTGCTATCTTGTATAAAAATAACTTTCAGTTGGCGCTTCATAAAATATATTGAATATTGATATATGAATTGTAAACTTCGGGATATATATCATATGAAATCCTAAAAAAAAGTTTTGATTTTCAGCTTACTAAGTAATTTTTCTCTTTATAACAAATATATTATTGAAAACGAATGGAAAGGCCTTCATGTTTTCACTTTAATAAATTTTCTGTAGCAAAAACTAAGACATCAAATAAATTATGTACAAACGTACGTCAAAGTGAAGATGTGTTCTTTTTCTTATTGAATGTAATGAGAAAACTTACCTTTCGGACTTCCTGTAGACTGAAAAGTAAATTACAGATCAATTGTTTTTCAGAAAAATTGTATAGACTTTAGAAAGATTTCTAAAGATCTACAGATTAATTATTATGATTATTTTTATAATTTATCTTTAATTCATACATATACCTTTTGATATCGAGTGCAATGATCAACTGTTGACATAGACGGGGTAATTGTTACAAAACCAGATAAAAGCCGACACACGTTTGTTCCAACTTTAATAAGGTCCATTCCAATGCAATTCTGATTTTTGTTACACTCTACACCACAACTGATTAGAGGCGAGGAATTATTTTCTACGGTGATTTCATTTAATACACAGAACTTATAAGGCATCTGACCATACTGAATAGCAAAATATCCGTTTTCCTCCACTGCCATAGAAACAAATCGCAACACACTACACAATAATGATATAAGAAAGAATGTTAACGCTCCCATTCCTTCTCACAGTTAATGTCACTTTACGTCTGAGCAAAAGATTCTTGAATACAATTTGCACTCATCTGCCTATCTAAAATATAAAAAAAATCTAAAGACAATTAAAAAAAAAATGTTTTCGTCAAAATGTTCAACAAACAGAAAGATGAATTTAAAAAAAAATGCTTTTAAGTTAG